GGCCTGAATTATTTCTGTGTTTAAAGTCAGAAATATGAAGTGTACATGTGTTAAATGGCCCTCAGTTAGTAGGTCTAGGGGTATGTCTACACTACCCCGCTAGTTCGAACTAGCGGGGTAATGTAGGCATACCGCACTTGCAAATGAAGCCCGGGATTTGAATTTCCCGGGCTTCATTTGCATAAGCCGGGCGCCGCCATTTTTAAGTCCCGGCTGGTTCGAACCCCGTGCCGCGCGGCTACACGCGGCACGAACTAGGTAGTTCGGACTAGGCTTCCTAGTTCGAACTACCGTTACTCCTCATGGAATGAGAAGTAACGGTAGTTTGAACTAGGAAGCCTAGTCCAAACTACCTAGTTCGTGCTGCGTGTAGCTGCGCAGCACGGGGTTCGAACCAGCCGAGATTTAAAAATGGCGGCGCCCGGCTTATGCAAATGAAGCCTGGGAAATTCAAATCCCGGGCTTCATTTGCAATTGCGGTATGCCTACATTACCCTCCTATTTTGAAATAGGAGGGTAGTGTAGACATACCCTTCCTCAGGCCCGAAGATCTGTGTGTAGTGTGAGCGCTGCTCTCTCCCTCCAGCAGACGTTGGGTCATGAAATGATTCTGTCTCCTTTCCCCCCCCCCCTTCCCTCTCTGCAACAACTCTGCATAGGAGCTACTCTAGGTTCTTTCCCCACACAGGCCAGTCCTTAGAGGTTACTTGCTATTCATAGTTCTCACGCATCATACAGATTTTGACCCTCTATAGCACCTTCCATCCAGGGTACCGGAGCGCATTACAGACACTGCTGAATCGATGCTGCCAACTGTCCTGCAAGGTCGGGGATGTTCCTTAGCCCCATTTTGCAGTTGGAGAAACTGAGGCAGGGGAGAAATTAAGACCAGCACTTGTCTCTGCTTTTGGGGGCCTGACTTGAGACAGCTGGGACCTGGATTTCCCATGGCTGTTTTCAGCTTCTCTTAAAGTCATGGGGTACCCCCAGCTGGTGGTGGGGTGGTCCCAGACTTGAGTGGGCAGCACAATCCAGGATTCAGCCTAAGAATCAGCCCCCCCGCTCTGGGCGAGGCGCCGTTCTGAGGGATTGGTGAGTGTCTGGCCCCTGGGGGCTGTATGTGGTTGCGCTGCATCATGGCAGAAGCGTGGGCTGCGAGAGGCAAGGGCCCTGCTGGGCTCTGGAACGAGTGCGGCCACCCATCACGCTGCCTGCTTGTGTTGCAGGGGACGGATGTGGCCACGCTGTGCTGACGCCTCACAGTGGGACGCTGACCTCCAAGAACTACCCTGGCACCTATCCCAATCACACAGCCTGCGAGTGGAGGATCCAGGCCGCGGAAGGGAGCTCTCTCGTCCTGGCCTTCGGGGACATGGACATCGAATCTTCCCGGCACTGCGCTTCGAGCTTCCTGCTGCTCTCATCCCCTTCCGACAGCACCAGCCTTGGTAAGAACTACCGGGCCCCGGGCCCAGGCAGCCCCGATGCGCGACATTGCAGGCCACGCATGGGCTGGCGGGGGGCAGGGTTTTTCCCTGCCTCCTTCAGCAGGTGGTGAAGTGGAGCCAATGCAGTGCAGGAGGGCAGGGCTTGGGTAGGCCGGGCACCCCCTTGCACAGGCGCCTGGTGCCTACTGCAGGGGTGGGGGGAGCAGGGAGGGCCACCTGGAGGAAGAGGGAGGGGGCGTGAGGGAGGGGGCGTGAGGAAGCACCCTGTTTAGCAATGAAAATGTTGGCAGCGCCTGGGGGGCAGAGCTACCCTGAGTCGCCCATGCCCCCTTTCATGCCCAGAGCACAGCGAAGCGAGGATCCTGGCGCACAGCTGTGCAGGGCAAGTCTGGCGGGGAGCATGGCTGCAGGCTGGGCCTATGCAGTGTGGCTGCAGGCGCCCTGGGAGCCTGTGGGGGGAGCTAAGCCCCACGGTGGAGACTCCCAGGGCTGCGTCAGATGCTGCGCTTGCGAGTTGCTCAGCAAACGTGGCGGGAGACCCAGTCCCTGCCCCGCCAGCTCCCCACGTTCATTTCCAGGGGCTTTCTGCCTGAGCAGGCATTTGGCAAGATGCCAGATTCGAGGGGTATCCGCACACAATGCTCTGATGGGGGGTGGCAAGTCCTGGTCCCCATGGCCCAGCCCCGAGAAGCCCTTTGCTGCCGTCACCACTGACCAGCTTTGGCCAAAGGAGTCAGCCGGGATTGGACGGAGCCCATGGACTGGAATAGCGTCGCCCTCTCCTTTGACAGAGCTGTCTGGTCACCCAGTGGCTCTTCCCAGAACTCCCAGCGAGTGATGGTCTGGCCCAGGTACCCCCGGGGCCATGCTCAGTGACATTCGGGGGCATGGACCCCTCCCGGGACTGGCTGGGGCCTGACCCTGAGCCCTGCTGGCCAATGCAGTTCTGCCAGTTCTGCTGCTTTTTGGAGTTTTGGTGCCCACTGTGGAACTGAGGCCTCCAGCTTCCAAGCTAACAGGTGTGGCCCTGCAGTCTCCGGCCACGATCCAGCAAGTTCGAGGCTTGAGCTGCTAGATCGGACACCTGAAATTGGGGACAGCCCTCTCTGCCACCCAGTGGAGCTCAGATCCAATGGCAAGATTACAGAATATGAAGAAAATCTGGCGCTTTTTTGGTTGGTTGGTGTTGTTTACAGGGCAGCGCTATGGGACGGGGGATCATGACCCAAAGGAAAGGGGGCAGGGACAGATGTGTCCGCAAATTAATGAACTGAGAAGCTGTCCAAACTATTTCTAGGATTTTCAGGGGGAGATTTACTGGACTCAGAGGGATTTGACAGAGCAGGGGCAGCCTGCAGAGAAATCCTGGGCAGGGAAAGGGTGTGTGTGTGTGTGTATGTGTGTGTGGGAAGGAACAACCTTTGGAAATCTCTGCTGGGGGATGTCTTTGTGGAATCCGATCACTCACGCAACAGGCTGCCCGGCAATCGGAGGGGGAGGAGAGCAGCCCTGCGCCAAGAGGAAACAGGGCTGAACACCGAGTGGCACAGCCTGAGCAGGCCGGGAATCGCCTGACAAAGAGGCACTGAGTGACAAGCGGCAGGAAGCTCAGTCCACAGCAGAGAGGGCCCCATTGTGCTCAGCAAAGGGACACACGAGAGGGTCGCTGTGGGGAAATCAAATGTGTCACTGAATAACCATAGAAATTGGAGACGGAAAAGGCCCATTAAATCATCGAGTCCATGATGCCCCAGGCCAGGACTGATCTACGGTCTGTTCTCTAGGCCCCCCCACCCCTCTGCAGTGTCTTTCTTAGCCCTGCGGGGGAGAGTTCAGAGGAAGGGCAAATTGCCGGGAACGTATTTTATTTGGTTGCCAGTAGTTCAGGCTCCCGTGTCGGGGCTTGGGGCCCCGTCCTCCACTGGGGCAAGTCGGGGCAGCTCCATTGGCATCCTCGGAACTGCTCCAGTTTACGCCAGCAGATAATGTGACTCCACGGCTTGCTGCTCCGGATCCAACCCTCCAAGCTAGCCCCCAGCGGAGCCGTGCCATGGGGGGGGGGGGGGGGGGAGCCGATCAGCGCAGGCTGCTGCAGCCTCCATGGGATTCACCTGTCATTTTGCAGGGGGTGGCCAGCAGGAGCCCTGCAGCAGGAGATATTCTGGCCTTGCTCTGCCTCTCCCCTCCCCTGGCCCGTGCAACACCATCTTCCACAGTGCAGTGCAGGGATGCACCCCACGGGCCTGATCCTCTGCTGCCTTGTGCGGGGCCACCGCCTGCTCTTCTGCCGGACAGAGCCGGGAGAGGCCCCAGAGCCTGTGCGTACGGGCAGCTTCCCGATTTCGCAGGGGTGATTCATGCTGAGCAGCAGGAAGCCAGTGGTCCCCAACCTTTTTTACATGGGGGACCGACAAACCCATTTGCAAATGTTCAGCGGACTGGCAACATTGTATTTGCATATTCATGAAGCAAATAAGGAATATGCAAATAGAATGTGATCTGTCTTCCTGGCTCCAACCCAGCCCCTTACTCCCCAGTGCCTAACACCCTTTGATGCCCACCCCTGAGCCCTTTGACCTCACCCAACACCCCTTTGCCCCAAAGCAAGGCTGCCCCCTCTAGGGAGTGTGGTTGTCATTGCCGCGTGGGCAGGGGGAGCGGCCATTGGCGGCGTGTCCCCACCCTCCCCAAGCGCGCCCCCATGGGCAGAGGCAGAGAGCACGAAACCCCAGCTGGGCCACCTTACCTGGGTGGGACAGAGGGAGGTGCCTCCTGCTCCGCCTCCCCCAGCCACCACTGCCAGCAAGGCCATACAAGCAGAGAAGCGGTTGCTGGAGGCCTGTGCACTCTCCTCCTGCCCCCTGCTGCTCTTCTGGCCCCAGACCTTGCAGCCTGGCAGCAGGCTGCGGCTGGGCGGTCGGGAACCGCTGCTCTAACCCGGTAGCATTTCCAAGGTAACAAGCAAACTGGTCCCCTTTTAGCCCTTTCTCCAGCTCGGAGGAACAGGGCAGGCCACAAACACAATTTCTCTCCCTTTGCAGGTCACCTCTGCCTCTCCGTGTATCTTGGCCTGGAGCATTTTGCTCCTGGGAGCTGCAGAGTAAATATTTAGGAGTTAGCACCACGTGCTGTTGCTAAGGGCCCTGCTGCTGCCGAAAAAGCCCGTTCCGCCCGGGTTCTTTCGCACTGTTAAATACCATGGACTGTGCTCAGCTGCCCTTGGTGTCCCAGGGAGCTGCAGCGCTCCCAGAATTAATGGGTATGACCCACGCAGGAGTTAAAGCTTCACATCTCCTGGCTCCGCTCCTTTGTGGTCCTTCTCCCCCACCCGCCACGCTCCCCTCCCGCACCCCAAGTAATTCTGTGATCTCCCATTACCTCCTATCTGAGCATCTTTCAGTCCTGAATGGATTTCTCTTCACTTCTGCCCTAGGGCAATGCTGTCATCCCCTTTGCGGAGATGAGGCACTGAAGCACAGAGGGGCTAAGTAACCAACCCAAGGCCACACGGAATCTGTAGCAGACTAAACCCAGACTTGAGACCCGACCATTGGGACTGTCTTGCTCTCCTAGTTGAAAGGGCAATAGTAACAGGGTGCCAGGATAGGAAGGATGGACCAGGGGTTATGGCACTGGACTATGACTTAGGGCATGTCTACACTGCAGGGCTAAAGCTGAAATAAGCTACGCAACTCGAGCTACGTCAATTGCTTAGCTTAAGTCAGAATAACTTATTTCACTTTTGGTGCTGTCTGCACAGCAGGAAGTCTGAGGATGATCCCCACCTCCCAAAATCCAATACAGGCCAGGTCCTCTGACCTCCCTTACTCCTTGTGAAATGAGGGTTACAGGAGCTGGAGTAAAAAGTCCTTCAGCTCAACATTATTTTGATGTTCTATTGAAATAACTGCTTGTAGTGTAGCCACGGACTATGTCATTTTGGAATAATGTCAGTTATTCCGAAATAACACTGCCATGTAGATGTACCCTTAGAGACCTGGCTTCAAATCCTCGCTCTGCCATGGGCTTCTTGTGTGACCTGGGCAAGTCTCTCTGGGCCGGAGTTTGCTGTCTGTGCAGCGGGGCGAGTGACACTGCTCTCCCACTCAGAGGTGTTGGGAGGGCAAATCCCCTGAAAAGTGCAGGGTGCGCAGCTGCTATGGCGGCAGGGCCACGTAAGTTCCACAGACCGCGTTAGAGCACGGTGCTCCCACAGGCACTGAAATGAGGACCAGAGTTTCAGTGGAGCTCAGTGTGACGGCGCGTCCCCGTCCGCAGCCAGATGTGACTCTCGGCCAGCCAGTGGAGTAAAAACGGGTTTATTGCTTCTCCAAGATACAGCACAGCGTGGGCTTGGTGTAGGCATAGGATAGGCCAACAGCCCTAGTTCCCTTTCTGGGGACGGGGTTCACAGGCCCCTCAACCCCCTATACTGGTTTTCAGTCTGCTTCCTCCATGCTTTCCCACACTCCCAAACCCTGCCCCCCAGCCAGGTGGCCGTCTCCGCCTCCCTTCCTTTGTCTCTCCCTCTGGGAAGAGCCTTGCTAGCTGCTCAGGCTGGGACTAGGTGTCGGAGCCAATGCACATGTGGGGTGAGACAGTGGGAATCTCACAGCACAGCACAGCCAGGTGGGGTTACAAAGCAGACAGCCCCCCACTATGCACCCATCCTGACGGAAACCTGGCCCGTAATGGATCTTGGGAGGTGGGATCATCACTTCCCAGGCCCCACATTTTTATGGAGCAGGTGGTAATAATGAAAATACACCCACCTTGCAAACAAATGTGATGTAAGATCGGCCACAAGATCTCTCAGAGGCCAAGAATGGCGAGCACAACTGTGAAACTCCACAGCTGCATTGGAAAGATAAACCAGGTGTACAGGAATGTACCATGCTGCTTCCAGGCATAATCCACTCATCAGAGGCCTAAGAGAGCAGCAAGGGAGGTTTAGGTTGGACATTAGGAAAAACTTCCTACCTGTCAGGGTGGTTTAACAC